TCTTTCCCTGGTAAGCACACACACCCTAAGGGTCAGCAAATGGCATGAAAGTCAAGGAGGCTGGATCCCACATGACTGCTCAGTTTGAGTCTCCCACCCTGTAGCTTGAAAAGTATTCCAGGCACATGCATGCATGCCCAAAATCCAGAGAGGAAAATGGATAAGGGTTTGTAGCATGGCCTCTGGGGTTCCTTTTTTTTTTTTAGAGAGAGAGAGATTTTGGCTTTTTTTTTTTTTTTTTTTTTTTTTTTTTTTTTTTTTTAAGAGAGAGAGATTTTTGGCATAGGGAGTGTGTGCTTGCTGGAGAGGCAGAAAGATAGAAAGCGAGAAATCACCCCCCAGGGGAGATGGCCAAGCTCCAATCCCTTCTCCTTTTGAGCATGCACACACGTACCTGGCGTGAGTTTTAAGGTGCCAGATCTGGGACTCGAACTGCTCATCCCAACAAATTTATTTCAAGTGATAATATACTCAGTGAATTTATGATATAAGTTAGTATAACATTGCTGGAAAGTAATTTGATAATATTTATCAATGGCCTTAAAACTTATATGCTATTTGACCAAGTAATGCCACTCCAAAAAATGTACTCTAGGGGCTAGAATACATGGTGTGGTAGTTAAGGCACTGGAGTCCCACATAGTGAATAGCAGTTCAAGTCCTGGACCTGGCAGCTTGCTTTCTCATTTTCCTTCTCTCTGTCTCTCTCTGGTGAATGCATGTGCCCTACAGCATATTTTAAAAAATAATAATAAATAAAAATTAAATACAAAATTCTTCACAAAAATGTATTCTAAGAAAGTAAGCAAAAATATAGAAAAATTTATGTACAGGGACCAGCAGTTGGTGTAATGGCTATGTCACTGGATTCTCATGTAGTCAACTGTGGTTCGAGTCCTGGACCCCGCGGTTTAAACTCATGCTGGGCTCAGAGCGTGTGTGCGTGCCCAAGATCCCTAGAGGGGAATGGAGGAGAAAGGATTGCAGATTGGCCATACTCCCTGGGAGATGATTTCTCGCTTTCTGTCTCTCTGTCTCACTCTGTCTTTCTGGCGAGCGCACGCGCCCTATGGAAAAACCTGTCCAAAAAAGAAAAAAAGAAAAGAAAATTTTATGTACAGTGAAAATTTGGAGGAATTAACTAAATGTCCAGCAAGAAGATGAATATTTCAGTAAATTGTGGTAAGATTGAAAAAGGCTATTTAAATTATAATTTCCAAGTCTGTAATGACATAGGAAAATGCTTATAACTAGTTGAGCTTAATTTATTGAAACTGTGGCTATAATTTCTTTTTTTCAAACATAAAATAAGTGTTGGCAAGGACATGTAGAAATCTGAACCCCAAACATTGCCGGTGGAAAATAAAATGGTGCCGCGGTGAACAGCAGTTTGGCGGTTCCCATACAACCCACCCGTTCTACTTCTAGGTGAATATACCCCAAGAGAAATGAAAGCATGTGTTCGTGCAAAAACTACAATTTTTAAAAAGGGCAATATAATTCAATGTGTTCCACTTCTCAGCCAGAGGGAGAGAAATGTCAATTACAGCGCTAAACACTATGCAAGAAAACTACCCCTGACCAGCTCTCAAACGCAGCAGCAGAATAAAGTTACATCAAAAAATGGTGGGAAATTGTTAACCTCGTGGTTGGCCGGTGCGCGCCGCGGGGAAAGCCGCCTTGTGCTCCACGGTAGCAGAGGCCTCGCAGTTAAAAGCTCAGCCTCAGAGAAACCATAAACATTAGAGGTGCGTGGAGCTTAAAACCACCACTCGACCTAAATTTCCCTGGGATGATGGTGCCCAAGGTAACACAGATTGTGGGCTCACAGCTAGAATGGAGGCCCTGTTTCCCGGTACACCCACCCCGCCAAACCATCAAGCAAGCCTTCACAGAGAAGTTGGGGTTTAGGTGTGTTTCTTTGTTTCAAAAATCCAGTAGCTTTTGGTGAGCAAAGGGCTGTGGGCTGGCATTGCAGTCCGGGGTACGGGGGTGACCAGGGGAGCGCGATAGGTGCAACGGTGGGAAAAGCCGTGGGGGTCAGTACGTGACTCCACAGAAGACATCTAGACATCCCAGTGGCGGTAGAGCCCCCCCGCCCCCATACGTGGCAAAGACCCTTCCCCGGCCCTTGGGCAACCTTGGGCACGATTCCGGGGTAAGTGGACCCGTACCAACATAATACCACAAAAGAGAACAGAAGCGTGAGCCGGGCACTGCAAGACCGCACGGACCCCGATCCTACGTAGCTCTCTGGGGCTGCAAGGAACCTTCAGACTGCGCGCTAAAACCCGGACCGCTGCCGAGAAATCCTCTTGACTTGTGAGCACTTCTGAAGGCAGAAAGAAAAAAAAAAAAAAAACAGTCCTGAGCAGGTAGCACAGCCGCTGCAGGGTGGATGAGCGCGGTGAGCGCGGCCCCACCTCCCCGGCCTCCTCCAGCTCAAGCGCGCCTGCCCCGGAATCCCGGGACAAGCCCGCTGGCTTTGAGCAGTTCCACGTTCTGTATCTTTCTTGCCTTAATCAGGACGAATAGCTTCTGACAAAATGTTAATTGAACAAACGTCCTTCACCTCCAGAGCATGCATTTTACTGGCACCAGCGTAGAAACTGAATGGAAACCTGGAGCAGAAACAGCAAAAGTGCCCTGTCGATTTTGCAAACGGGGTTTGGGCGTTGCGCTCGCAGAGCGGGGTGAGTGTATCCGCCCGGCTGGAGAAAAGGAGCCCAGGAGCTCCAGGCTGTGGGCGACTCGGTGAACGTCGGTAGTCCGATCGAAACCACCTCTGAGCATCTACTGCGTCCTTTCCTTGCCTTTGTCTCCGCCTTCTTTGCTCTGTGAAGCCGGCTCCGGCTCCAGCGGTTCCTTTAGTTGGAAAAGTAGGGTCAAACTTGGTCCTAAGTCCTCGTTCCAGAGAAAGAATGCAGCCTTAGTAAGTATTAAAGGCAGTCAGCAGCCACTTACAACAGCGGGGCCTTCGATAGCTCAGTTGGTAGAGCGGAGGACTGTAGTGGCATAGCCGTTGTGGCAATCCTTAGGTCGCTGGTTCGATTCCGGCTCGAAGGACTTCGTGCAATATTTTTAATACCACTTAATCCAATTACTCAGTGGGTAGAAAGGTTTTCTTATAAAACTTAGGACTCTGCGGGAGTTCTATCCGTATTAGCACGCATGGGCAGCGTGTAATTGGGGTACACTACAACTTGTGAGTTAAATGTAGGGTAATTACAACGTGGTCCAAAATAAGGCATTATTGATGTTGCTTACGTATGTTACTATGTATCTGATTTTTTAAATGTTTTGCTTGCAGTCTTATGGTACTCAGCTAAACAAACATTGCAAATTACACTGCTCAGGAGGTCGGCGGACAATGCGGAACAACCTGTAAGGCAAAGAGAAAGAGCCCAACAGCAACTGGGGGATTAGCTCAAATGGTAGAGCGCTCGCTTAGCATGCGAGAGGTAGCGGGATCGATGCCCGCATCCTCCACTCATTTTTGTGTCTGGTGGTGGCAAACATTGGCCGGTGAGACTGGGTTCGGCTCTAGCAGGGCGTGTACTTAATTCGACGAGTGAAATAAGGAGAATAAGCTATGCATAGCTTCACATAACGTCCTTTTATTTCGCAGGTAAGTCTTTCCCTGTTTTCTCTCATTTTGTCTTTCCTGCCTCTTTGCGGGAAGCCGTTAACCGTCTCCCGAGGGCGCAGACTACACCCTCCGGCCCCGCCGCCCGCCGAAGCTCAAACGGCACTGGCTCAGGTACCCACTAACGTGCGAGGAACCCTGCAAGCTGGCCAATGGCAGTGAGCTTTACTGGGCGGGTAGCCAGCTGCGGCCCCGGCCAATCGGCGAGAGACTTCTTGTTTCCTGGCAGAGCGGGGTCCCGGCACCGCGGCGCTCGGGTTTTGTTAGGGTCCTGGGCGGAGGGCCCGGGTGCCGGGGCCCGAGGTGCCGCCTCGCTAGCGGGAGAGGGAGCGGGATCACCGGCCCGGAGAGAGGTGAGGGGCTCTGCGTGGACTGAGCCCGCCCCTCCCTGCCCTCGGCCGGGCTGCCCTGGCCCCACTCCCATTCCTGTGGCCTCACCTCTGACCCCTAGGCCTGCCTTCCTGCCGCCCTCCCATGTGAGTGTCCCCACCTCTCCCTCCCATGCCTCCAAACCGCACCCTGCCCTGGGCAAGCCCATCAGTGTGACGGGTCCTTCAGAGCTGAGGGTCCAGAAGCCAACCCCCTACCTCCCAAGTGGGACTCTACCGGCCCGTCTATTTTAGGGGCGTTTAGAAGACCCATTACTCACAAGTACCAGGGTAGCTTTGCAGGAGTCGCTTTGGGCGAGAGGGGGTTGGAAATTGGCCCATGCTCTAGCTGGACTTGAGCTACAGGCTTTCTAGGTGAGCAGGTGGCATCTGCCCAGTTCCCTTTGTTTTGGCACAGGCCACACATTTCTAGTTTTCTCCCATGATACGCTCAGTGTAGGAAGAAAAAGGAACCAACCCTTCCAGGGTTCAGAGGAGCAACAACCGAATGTCTGGTTGGTGCTTGTGAGGACGCGGGTGAAGAGAGGAAGCCACCCATTTAAGCTTAGAAACTTGGCTGTTCCTTGGGCTGTGGCTGGAGAGTGCAGAGCCAGTCTAGTCAACAGACCCAGGATGGGGTGTCCAGGGCGGCAGGTGCTGTGGTGGGTCGCCTTGCCTAGGTCTGGGAAACCTGACCTGATTACACTCTAATCTTTGGGCTGCAAAGAGGCTTAGTGGCTAGTGTTCCTCAGCATAGTTAAGCCATTGAGTATATGATGTGGGAACAGCCAAGCTGTAGTAACATGGGGTCCTCTGGGTCAGTTATGACCCTTAGGGTGGGGGACAGAGTACTGCTTTCTCTTGGCCTTGCTGGAAGGCCACTTGTGTGTTTTCTAAAGGGGAGAAAGTCTTTTGCTTCGCAGGGTTCTCCCTAAGAATAGCTCTCATTTATATGAAGATATCCAACAAATCTGTTTCCATTTGTCATCCCTCCCCTCCCTACCCCATTTTCCCCCAGCTCTCAGGGCCAGAGTGGGCAGGAGGATGCTTTCCCAGCCCCACCATGGAGCTGCGCTGTGGGGGATTGCTGTTCAGTTCTCGCTTTGATTCAGGGAACCTAGCCCATGTGGAGAAGGTGGAATCCGTGTGTAGTGATGGGGAAGGGGTAGGAAGTGGGGCATCAGCCCCCACCAGTGGCATTGCCTCTTTCCCCGACTACGAGTTCAACGTGTGGACACGGCCAGACTGTGCTGAAACGGAATTTGAGAATGGAAACAGGTAGGAGGGAGGAACTGGCGGGTGGAGAAAGGGAAAGA